CCAAATTTACCAAACATTACAATTCTCACTGTGTGACAGGTAACTATTTTTCTATGCTCAAAGACTCTGAAATCCATTTGCAATTGAATGTAATATCAGAAGAATTCCAGAGATACTATCTACTTAAATACATAACAATTTTTGTTTGTGGTAGATAACAGTTACTTTTGTAATATGACAGTGTTAAGATTTATTTGTAATTTTCTGTGCCAGATTAGTATGATCAAGCTATTTTCTAATTATATTTTAAAATTTATCTTTTAGGGACAGTATGGAAATTACCAGCAATGAAAAAGTACTTACATTCCAATAGCCTGTATCTATTAGCAGCCATATTGTCACCTCAGCACTGTGGACACCTTCTTGTGAAGAGATCCTTCCATTCCATCTAGTTTTTGGAAAAACCTTGTGGATAAATGGCTGTTTCATCAGTAAGCAGTCTTTGTGGCTTAGTTGTAAAAGGCTTTTAGTAGCTCAAATATACTCTTAATTTCACATTTCTACTCTAGATGGCAACATTGGACAGAAAATACGACATAACCAATTTGCAGTGATTTCGGAACTGTGTTTCAAATGGACTGTTACAGACTGAAAGGTGTGAACAGCTTTGTATGTTTATGAAGGTTAAGGGAATTTAATACTTTTCCACAGATTCTTTTGTAAGGGGAAGAGGGAAATGTACACTTTTTACAGCAGCAATATTTTGTATATCATGTTTATTTCGTGTGGTGAATATGCAAGGCGGGTACACTACGCATTGGGCAGAATCAGAGATCCTCTGTTAATGTGGATTGAAGCACGGTGAATGCTTGATTGTGTTGGTCTCAAAATGGTGTACTATAAAGGTAAAGGTGAGGGAGAAGGCAGAGCACACCATATGTCCACTGTTAATAGTTTTTAGAGGAAATTCAGATCTGTTTTATCTGTTAGATAATCAAGGGCACTGTGATACAGTTTTGAGTAAAAAGACGTTTTTTAAAGCTTCCCAGTTTTGTGGATTAAAACCTTTTTATAAAGATCATTTATAATACAGTTTTAAAATGTGAGACAATAAGATTCATATTGGACCTGAAGAATCTTGGTAACAGTTTTATGTAAATAAAATGATAATCCTCTCCTAAAATAGCAATAACTGAAAATGGAAGTGTTAATTTTACTTTGAGTAATCAGGGAACTTAGTACGTTATATCAAAGCATTTTATAAAGTCAACATTGATCCTGTAATTTTATTTTTTAACATTAGAAGGTTAATTGGTTTATATAATAGAAGAGTTCAGGAGACTTAACAAACCTATATTTCAACTTTCTAACTGGAAATAATACCATTTATAACGGGACACTTAAGTTTTTCCCTTTTTTATGTTGGTTAATATAACAGATGTTTAGGGAAATGCTTATTGATAAGGTTTATTATGATCTGTATTAAAAGCATAGAGTTTGCATTCTAGATGACTTTGTTTATTAGCATGGCATATCTAACCATATTTGAGACTGTCCTGTGCCTGATAATTTTAGCTTAATTCAGGGATATTGCATTGGGCAGGAAATCATGCATTGAGACGTTTATAACCACAATTATTTAAGTGTAATCTGAAAACATCTAGCTGAAAGGTAAGTTGCTATTTTTATCACAGTTGCCTATGCCCAGTATTTTTTATAATTCAATTGGTTTTTCCCACTTCTAAATGGAAACAAAACAGAAGGGGTGCCATTAATTTGAATAAGCAAAACTTACTGTCCTCAATATACTGTAATCAAAAGGAGGAATTTCAGTGTGTCTTTGTGTGTGTGTGTGTGTGGGGGGAGAGTTTTAAGGTCAGAAAAGGTGTTTTTTTTCAACTTGGTCAATAGGAAAAGGACATCAAGTTTAAACAGATAAAGCATGGACAGCCTTATTGTGATTGAAATGCTTATCGGTTCTGTGCCAATTTTCCACCACTGTGTACTTTGTTGCTATTTAAAACTGTATCAACTCTAACGGAAGAATAAATTATTTGTGATTTTAATTTTCTCATTTGTTTCTTTAAATTGGATCTCTTTGACTTCCTTGTTTTGTCTGGAGACTATGCTGTGGGATTTTTTTTTTATGTAAGTTAGTCCAGTATAAGCAGAATATATTTGTATTCTAGGACTTTATCAAAATTCTCTTGCCATGCCCAAGTTAATTAGAATTAACTGTTCAGTAATCAGCATGTTGTGTGGGCTGTTTGTTACAGAGTTCTTTCTCTGAAAATGAAGTCCATAAGGCTATAATCAAGATGACTGAATTAGATAAATGAGTTGAGGAGACAAAATTGTACTAAACCCAACCTGGTGTAGATATGTTATCTCATTTGAAATAAGCTCAACTGACATTAAGAAATAATTTGTCTTGCCAACCCATCTTCTGTTGTCTTATTCGCCTTTTAATGGAAACTAAAATTGCAATTTTAATAAGCAGAATTTCCTCTAGGACTGTCTTCCTGGAGACTAGTGCATTTGCAAGGTTTAATTGTTTTATAACAGTCTTATTTCGTAAAAGTTTTTAATTGGTGATGACAAAAATTACCTTACTCCTTTGATACCTAGTAAGAACTTTACTAGTAGCTTTCTACCAAATTTGACATTCCCATATGGACTATATTAAAACTGAAATTTTTATTTTATCAAAATGTATATTATAATGAAGAGATATTGTAACATCCCATAAAATTTCAGAAGCAAAATACTGCTAAGAGAAATGCAGGGTGATTATTGATTAACATTTGAAAATATTTAACTGCCAGTTTAGTTGTTTGAGAATATATTATTCAGTAGTAGTATTTTGTAGAATTGTGGTGACACATTGTTTTTTATTTTGTTTTTAATTTTTTAACTGAGTTTTCAAACATATACCAAAGTGGAGAGAACATAATGTGTATACCAGTTACCCAGCTTACCCACTTAGCCCCTCACAGCCAGTCTTGTGTTGTCTATACACTGACCCACAAATTGAGGCATGCAATATGTCCTTTAATTATTTCTGTAAGTATCTGTTAAAGACAAGTACTCTTTTTAAAAACACCTTAGTACTTAGGGACTTCTGCTGTTTCTCAGATTTTGTATTTCAGTGTTAACAGTACATTAGAAACCATCTCAGAAATTGTATAAATAAATCACTGCCTTTTCTTTCCTCTTACTCATGTTAAATAATTAAGACATTAGCAGAAATAGATCACATAGAAAGTGAAAATTCTCCACAATTTCATCTTTTAAAGGTAACATTTATTAAAAGGTTTGATACATTTCTTTCAACTTCATTTTACACACATAAGCCAACATGTATCATTGGCTTGTCTTTTAAAACAAAAGGGAATTACACCAGTAATACTGTTTTGCAACTTCCTTTTTGTTTTTAAGTTAGAAATATCCTGATTGCTCTCTATTCTTGTGTTGTTCCTAATTTTTTACTACTGCAAAAACAAAGCTTTCATAAACTACCTGGCAAAAAAATTTTTTTGTGTGCTTACTGGGGCATTTCTATACAGTAAATTTCTAATACGTTAGGTGTAAAGCTCTGTACATATTAAAAAGTGTTCCCTTAAAAGATACATCCTTGCCAACACCATATTATTAGTCTTGTTAGTTTTTGCAATTCTAGTAGGCTTAAAAAAAAATTCAACCAGAATTTAATTTGAATTACATTAGATTTATTTGTAAGTTTGAGCATCTTTTCAAATGCTTAATGATACTTTATTTTTTGCCCTGAAATACCTTTTAATGTCTTTTGTCCATTTTTCTATTGGGATGTTTGTTTTGTAAGAGAGAAGAAATAATGTAAATACATATACACAAATATATATAATTATATATGGTTTTCTCTATATACACATATTAATGCTTTGTTTCTTCTGTATATTGCACATCTCTTTTGTCTGTTTATTATTTTTAAATTTTGGCCATGATGTATTTCACTGTATTAAAGTTTTAAGATTTTATACATAGTCAATTTCATAGCTTGTTGCAACCTCCCTAATTTACAAATGTATAAAAATATTCCAATATGTGCTTCTATTTTTTGAAAATTTATTGTACATGGTATAATTTAGAACATTACTTTCTTTCTCTATGGATAAACAGTTGTTTCACATCATTTATTGAATAAACCAGTGATTTGAGATGTCACCTTATTCTATTTAAAACATTAATTATAGTTAAGGCATGTTTGGTTTATGCTATTTCAAAGACTAGTTACATTCTTTTAAGTATAACTTCATTTAATTGGCATAAAGTGGTGTGTGTTTTTCCCCTAACAAGGTGTTTTTTATTAGATAAGAGTTAACTGCCAGGTTATAAACAATGACTGGCTTTTTAACAGAGAAATACTAAAATGTGTTTTTATATAGAATAACTAGAATAGCTTGGAGAGTTTTGCTTGTTGAAGTTTGCAAGCTCTTTGATTTTCTGTATCCTATTAATTATCTCCATAGCTGCCCAAAAGTATCTTGACTTGATTATTACCAAAAACATTAAGAAATTGATACCAAATCTCTTTTATTGTTTAAAACTCCACAGTTTTTAGAAATAAACAATCTAATATATTTTTCATTAATTCAATAAAGACCTATGAATAGGATGATCGTATAATTTATTGCTCAATCTGGGAAACTTTTGGGAATGAAAAGGGGATATTGGGTTGTCGGAAAAGTCAGGACATATTTTGTTCATGTTTTTCATTGCAAAAATGCATCATGACTTTTCTGACAACCCAATACACACATATACGAGGTGTAATAAAAAAATATGGTGAATGCTGCTGCTGAGTGCCATCCAACGGAAAGGTAGGGATCTTCAATACAGGAAACGGTGCATTGAACCTTAGTAACAGTGTGTGACAAGTTGCAACTAGTTCGGTGCAGTCAGTTGGGTGTGAGCTAGTTGAGAGAAGGTGTGTTTTCAAGTGTGTTGTAAATCATCTTCCATCATGATAACACTCCGTGTCACACATCGCTTCTGGTATACGGGAATTTCTGATGTATGGGACACATTATGGTGTGTGTCCCCATCCACCTTTTTCACCAGGTCTTGTACCATGCGACTTCTCGCTCTTCCTCAAAGTTAAAACAATTCAGGACATCGAGGCAGCCATGACAGCACTACTAAAGACACGAGAGAGGACTTCCAGAACGGCTTCAGAAAGTGGCAAGAAGGATGGGACAAGTGTGTTCAAAGTGAGGGGAAGTATTCTGAGAGGGATTAATGGCAATGTGTCTTGCTGCAATAAATTTTTATTTAAACATCATATTTTTCTATCACACCATGTATATATGTAGGTAAATGTATGTATTTTTTATCTTTTTCCTGATAGGGAACCATAGTTGAATAACTTAAGATATGTGAGAGACGCATATGTGTTTGGTCTATAATTTTTGATATAATATATGAGGTTTCTCATGAAACAGTACATTAAAAATAATTACTTGAAGTTAAAATAGATGAGTAAAATAATCCTGAATGTTCTTAAAGAGGTTTTGACCATTTTTTATCTCTGTTGGGGAATACTGATTATTCACCATTCTGTCTTTTAAAAATAACCCCCAAGTTTTGGGTGGGCATATGGCTAGCTAGCTACCTAGTGACTACATGTAATAGCCTCCTTTGCAGCTAGGTGTGCTCATATGACTAAGTTCAGCCAGTGGGATGTGAGCTGGAGTGATGTGTGCAGCTTCTAGATCATATCTTTAAACGTGTGCTCTGTTTTCTGTTTTTCGTTTCCAAAGGGCTGGAACATGACATGTTAGTAGTGAGCTTTGGCCTTATAAAGATTGGAAAAATACTCTATAGAATGGCAGTGCAACTAGATAGAATCAAAAGTCCCTTGAATGGCCTCATGAATCCCACTCCTCTACTTTGGATTTAGGCATGAGAGAAATAACACTTGTATCTTATTAGGTGTTTGTTATAGCAGCAAAGCCTGTACTTTAATGTTAGGCTCATGCAATGGAGGGCCAGTTCATACTACCCCATGACATATTCGGCATGGAATCATAGTTTTTAGGAAAGGTAGGTTAGTGTATTGTGTGTGTGATGTACCATAATCATTCAGTCCCTATTTCTGACAAATGAAATAGGACAAAATTCTTTGTTTCCTTTAAGATCATCTTTTCCATCATTTGAATAAATTGGTTACTGTATTTAGTAACAATAGATTTAGTTAAAATAATGATAAAAATTTATAAATAACATGTTTCCTAAGTTCTTATTTTGAGAATTAGGTAGAACTTCATAAAGTCGCGTAGGTTTTTTGTTTTTGTTTTTGGTTTTTTTTGGCTTCTACCGCTTTAATTTATTCTCGGAAATTTTTTCTCTACTGCTTTCTTGCTGTTTTCTTACTTTCTGACTTTCACTATATGAAAAGTGTACTTTGATGCTTGTTTCCCTCCCAACTTTTTTTTTTTTTTGTGGGAAAAAAGTGTTCTCAAAGCATTTGATTTTAAACTATAGTGTCTCTTACTCTTCAGCTTAGGGAAATATAAAGAATTTTATATATAGGGTCTGCCGAGTGGCGCATTGGTTAGGAGTTGGCTTGGGACACCACCTCTGAGCAGCAGGGCCCTGGTTTGGATCCTACATGAGGGCCAGTGACACTGCGTCTTCTACAGCTAAGAGGGTGAACAACAGCTCGACCTGGAGTTGGGCTGTCATAAGCCACCGTGAGCAGCTGTCCAATGGCCGGCAAGCGACTGCCTCAGCGGGGAACAACGCAATGATAATACCAACATGGGCCAGTAAAGCGATGTCCACGACAACTAGACTGAAGAACAAAAGGACAGCAACTTGTCTGTTCCCCTTCCCCGATTCCCCAATAAAACCTTTAAAAAAAAAAAAGAAAATATATATAGGAGGTTTAACTATATTAGCTAAGGAAGGGTATTTTGGAATTATGATTGTCTTTTATATAGTATTACATAAATTATTTAAAACTTCAGAACTCCTGATATCAGTGGTTTAGAATACTATTTATAGCAATCAAAGATTTTGTCTTCTGTCAAT